TAAAAATACAAAAAAAAATAAAAAATAAAAAAAAAATAAAAAATTAGCCAGGCGTGGTGGCAGGCGCCTGTAGTCCCAGCTACTCGGGAGGCTGAAGTAGGAGAATGGTGTGCACCTGGGAGGCAGAGCTTGCAGTGAGCAGAGATTGCACTACTGCACTCCAGCCTGGGCCACAGTGCGAGACTCCGTAAAAAGAAAAAAAAAGGGAATTCAGGTCCTACTGGCACTTTTGGCATTTTGGCAGATGTTGTTGGGGCCCTGCCCATATCTCATCTGCACACCTACAGTACATTACTTGGCCCAGTGTCTCTCTCTGGCTGCACATGTGTTAGGGAATTAATAGCTCCCCTGGAAATGGCCTTTGATTATGTCTGATGGGCACTGGAGGATAAATACCCCAACTCCCTCCCTGTGAGGTGGGATGACTGTGCTTTGTGCTCTCTGCTGCCTCCTGGAGGTCCCCACTGAAACTGAGCCCCATTTGTCCACAGCAGGAACTGGCTTAATAATACACTCTTTCCTGGTTGCCTTTCTGTCCCTGTGTCTCTTCCCCTGTCCCTTACTGCCTTGCATCCCAGATAAATTCCTTGCACTCAATCCTTGTCTCAGGCTCTGCTTCCATGGGAGTCCAAACAAAGACAACTTTATAGGCGTCTGGTCACAGACCTCAACCCCTAGGCTAGAGAGCTCCCCTCTATCTCCCGAATGTTACACAGGGAACTTGTGGCTTCATTTAAAACTGAAAGGGGAGACCAGACATGGTGGCTCATGCCTATAATTCCAGCACTTTGGAAGGCCAAGGAGGGGCAACTGCTTGAGGTTACAAGTTTAAGACCAGCCTGGGCAACAGAGTGAGACCCCCATCTCAGAAACAAAAACAAAAACAAAAACAAAAACAAAAACAAAAACACCAGAAAGCAGAGGGGAAGCTCAGTGCTGGCTCTTGCAGGATTGGCAGGGTGAGGGAGATGCAGCTCCAGGCCCCAGTGGAAGAATCACTTCACCAGCAGAAGACCAACTCAGAATAAAATAACTGGAGGCTGGGTGCAGTGGCTCACGCCTGTAATCCAACTGGAATATGAGGGTGGCAAAGCCCCAGGGCAGGTCCCTGAAAAGTAGGGGCTAGGCCGGGCCTGGTGGCTCACGCCTGTAATCCCAGCACTTTGGGAGGCTGAGGCAGGCAGATCACCCGAGGTCAGGAGTTGGAGACCAACCTGGCTGACATGGTGAATCCCCGTCTCTGCTAAAAATACAAAAATTAGCTGGGCGTGATGGTGGCCACCTGTAATCCTAGCTAGTCAGGAGGCTGAGGCAGGACAATTGCTTGAACCTAGGAGGCAGAGGTTGCAGTGAGCCAAGATTGCACCACTGCACTTCAGCCTGGGTGACAGAGTGAGTAGTCATCTCAAACAAACAAACAAAAATTACAGATTCAGTGATCCCCCCCGCTTCATCAAACCAAGTGAATCAGAACCTCTGGGGTATGCTCAGTGAATCATTTAAGAAATTTCTCGGCCGGGCGCGGTGGCTCAAGCCTGTAATCCCAGCACTTTGGGAGGCCGAGACGGGTGGATCACGAGGTCAGGAGATCGAGACCATCCTG